TTTTGTCTGTGAGCATTGCCGTTTAAAAAAAATATACATTCGTCACTGAAACAAATATTGTGGAGATAGGTAGGATGCCTTGCAATGGTTTCCATCATGATTTCGCAGAATTCTGTTCTTCGGTCAGGGTCATCTTCAGTTAATTGGTGTACCATTTTAATTTTCGCGATGGAATAAGTAGACTGTTCAGGATTTAATTTGTGATATTGATGACTTATTTATTTTGTGGAAAGGTTTCGGTTTTTACACCATTCTCAAGTATTCTAACACTACTTAGTTAGAATTCTTTATCTAATTTTCACTTACTTAATGTATTGATATTAATACGACCAAGGTTTCGGTTTTTACACCATTCTCAAGTATTCTAACACTACTTAGTTAGAATTCTTTATCTAATTTTCACTTACTTAATGTATTGATATTAATACGACCAAGGTTTCGGTTTTTACACCATTCTCAAGTATTCTAACACTACTTAGTTAGTAATATTCTAACACTACTTAGTTAGAATACTTGAGAATGGTGTAAAAACGAAACCTTGGTCGTATTAATATCAATACATTTAGTAAGTGGAAATTAGACAAAGTATTTCATTTCTGTATCCATATCATTTAATTGTTCAGGATTTATACTACCATCTGACTTGTTGTTCTTCTTGAATGGACGGATGAATGGACGATTCGGAAAATGTTCATTGAAAATCCTTTCGGCCTCATGAAAGTTACGCGTCGCGCCTGTTCTTATTATCATCAAGACTCGATGAACAGACGATATGATTCGTTCTTTTCAACATACCAGTGGTCGGATCCTGATTGCGTTTCTGTATATGTTCCTGCAGTTCAACTGCAGCACACTAAAATCTTCCAAATAAATTTCATGTACTTAGAAATATGCCATTTCGTATACAGGGTGTCCCTGGACTTCCTCTTTTCCTCTCGGGAATGTATAGATGGGGTCAAAATATCACCAGTACTTCATATAACTTTTTTTTCTAAAANCATTTTGATTTATTGATTGATAAACATTTGGGCCCCACACTTTGTTTACTATAAAATAAATAAATAGATTCAACGTCAACGTACATCGGTATACCACTCAAATGTAATGTGCGCTATGCGTAAAGCGCACATTACATTTTAAAACGATTCTTGTTCCATCTATGAACATGTATACAAAGCTTGCTCATGTCATTTCTCCCGCCGAGAGATTTTAACAAAACAAAAGCGAATCGGTTTCAACGTCAGGGTTCCTCTGAATCTTTGTTGATGGCACACTTGCAACTTGTCATCACTTGTCAAAGTATCATTCAAAAAATCGCCTAATATAAATTTTATCACAATGTTCACTCTTCCACCACGTCCTCCGAAAGACTATGTGCTGAAAGATATTACCAAAAGTCTTTGTTCGTCTTCCCAATTCACTCCGGATTCTCTGCCAAGAGTAACTCAAGACAATTTGGGAAAATTTTGTTCTCCCATAGAGTATGAAGATAATGAACTTCCTGAAAAAATCACGATTGATATTCAACCCACAGTCATGGAAAAAATGACGAACGATGCCAGAGCGTGTTGGGTGGTACAACCTGGAAAAGATGATTTCTTCCTCCATGACGTTTACAAGAAGTATTCTGTGAATCAAGATCGAGCTAATTATGACCCTAGGTATATGCATAAAGGTGAGTAGAATTAGTAGGTTTTTTCTGACAATTTTGCTGAAATGAATTGAATTTTGTGCGAAGTCAAATATCCCTGTGACGTCAAGGAGCTATACATTTTTTTAGATAGAATTATCGATGGTTGGAAGATAATAATAGTAATAATAATAATTCAGTGCCCAACAGTAAACGCGTTTAGAGAGCAATTTGTTAGAAGTAGGTTATAATGAATAATGGAAATATTTATATGAAAAAACCAAGAAATTATAATGTAGAATTGGAAAAAATACAAGAAACTATTGATTACATAGGTAGGTATTCAAGTTCTATAATATTTGAAGAATATTAATAATTATCATAAATTGAAGAAGGAACTGAAAGTTTTCATCAGAAATCATTATGATCAATTGCAGGATATCTTTGAAAATGTTTAATCTAAATTACCTGCTCTCTCTTTCTCTCTTCTTATTTCCTCACTATAGCCATCATTCTCCAACTGCGGTTTTCAACCTAGTGAGGTGGATAGTATTATGTAACCAAACGACCTATTTTAGTTTTTTCTTTTTTTGTATTTATTTCATTATACATTATATAACACACCTTATATCAGTCTGTAGCCACGACACAAGCCTAGCTTAGGTGGCTACAGATTGTGTAATATATGGTTATATGATAAGACATTTGAATTGTAAATCGCACGGAAACAAATCATGCAACTGAATAATCGTCAAATCTTTCATTATTCACAGTTATTTATTCACACAAGTAATTTACTGTTGTTTATTCTTGTATGTATTACATATTTGTAAATAAATTGCTCTCCAATTACAAATATAAATGATGATGCACATAAAATTTATCGGTATAGAGTTGGTGTGAGCTCTGTTGCATAAAAAAGACAGGCTCTTCTCTAGTTGTTAGTCGAGTATCGAAGATATTTATTCATAAGTCAATCTGGGCGTTGAAAATTTTTCACAAAATATTACAGAAACCTATTTTCGACGTTTCTCCAATGACAAAATCAAACTTGAGAAAAAGCTCGAAGTAATCGAAACCTCTTATTGAATTTGTTCCTTCTGTTCTGAAACACAGACATTTCAAAGATTCTTTCGACGAAAAGACTATGTTGTTTGTAACTAGGACTCCAAATCAAAGAACCATATTGCAATTTTTAACGAACAAAGTAATTATATATAGTAGTGATTACAAGAATATTATCAAAATGTCTGCAGTTCCTAACAATGAAGCCATATGCGCGGTATGCTGAGAAAATTTTTAGGTTGATATGATGAATAAAAGTTAACTTAGAATCAAAATAAACGCCCAAATCGTGCATGATATTATTTCGTTCTAAATTATCATTAATAATGCAATATTGGTAGTTTATTGTTGCATTATTTCTGCTGAAAGTATTAACCTTACATTAGTTGACAAGTGACAAGTATTTTGATAACACTGATTGTGTAATAGTTTAGTTGCAGTTGCATGGAGCTTCAAATCGTCTGCAAAGATCATTGACGAAAATAAAAAATAATGCACCCAAATTTGAACTTTGCAGTACTCCACTAGTAGCTATATACATGTCAGAATTGAAGCCGTTATAGTGGACGAGCTGTTGGCGTTGATTTAGATTGGATTTCAAGAGTTTCACGTATTTCGAATCAAGACCTATTCGGTTTGTACTTCAAACATTCTGGAATTGAATCAGATATCATTTACAGGATCCCTATACAATACCTATAGTATATTCCACTCGCATGGAACACTATCTCAACCAAAAATATATTCCTTTAAAATCATTAATTGCATATATAACAATGAACTATATTCAGTTATTCTCCCATTAAAATATTTTTATTGGATTGAAAATGTTCTCTTCATGTATTATATTTCTAGAAAAAGTCTTCAACCGTTCGTACCAGTTCGAACTGGATTGCATCGAAGCAGCCCGTTTAGAAAAACTCCGTGTAAAGTGCGAAAGGGAGGACGCAGATTTCGAAAATTCGTTTCAAAGGTTGGTGACTAATCAAAAAGCGAAAGAGAAACCTGCCATTCAAGTAAAAACTTGCAAAGAAGAACCGCCATTCTGGTGGAAAAAATCGAACATTGAAGGGGAATGTGATGTCGTTGAACAGCCTAAAACTGAGACATTCAGTGATGATCTGGTTGGTACAACCAGTTACCGTTCGTCTTATGTGAGATGGCAAGAGGAGCCCAATTTGACAGCATTCGTACAAGATGATCCATGCAGAAGAAAGCGAGATATGCTTCTGTAAGTATGTTAGGTCGTTGCAAAAGTTTTGTCCGTTTTAATGTCATGTGTGTTGCAGCTCCATATATTAGCTTATTACTATACAAGGGCGTCGCCAGCTTATGACTAAGGGGGGGCAATGAGGCTATATTATGCAGTTGTCATCTTTTGCATCTGCGCTGGGTGTAACTTAGATAATGCAGATAATGCGAATTATGGCGTGTTTTCTTCAGCAAAACGTACTTCAAGGGAGGTAATAATTGAATCCAAGTATGGTATTGCTAAAGACAGTGTTGCCAACTGGATGAACTATAAAGTTGCTACACATGAACCAAAATTCCGCTACACTGCTTTATATTCCGCTACGCTTGTATATCTGACAAAATAAGTTCGCGCATGCGCCATATCCGAAATTAAATACCACGGAACTTACAGTTTGTGTACCGATTAGATACCACAAAACTGAACTGTCACTAATGTCAGGAATCAGGATCATGCTAATTTTCAAGTGTGCAACTCAGTAGATGGTACCTAATTTTTAAATTTACAACAGTTGAGTTTTGAAAGTTGTCGTCTCGACCAAATATTTCTTAGCTTGTAATATTGATTTTGAAAAGTAAAAAGAAATATCAGGTTGTTCACGTACGTATAGTCATACTGAGCTCTTGAACGATCATTAGCGACAGGTCTACTCCATCCTTTCAAGTTGGAATCAGACAACCGATGTTGAGAAAAAGTTTGTTTTCGAGACTTTTGTATTTTTTTGAACATGTCCCGTTCCCGTCAATTTCAACTGCGGCAGCTCTTTCGCTCGAGCTACAATCAGATGAACTATCTTCCATTTCCACT